GTCCTGGACACGCTAGGGAGTAGCATGACGAATTTAAACCCCCAGACTTTCACCTCTAGTGCAGCGACTAAGGGCAATGAACTTGGAATTCTAGCTTTTGAGGTAGCTAACACAGTTGTCAAGGGCTCCAACCTTATGCAATCTCTTTCTGTACGAAGTGTAAGACATTTGAAGGAAGAGGTGCTTCCTTCAGAAGGCGTGCAAAATCTGATATCAAAAGATATGGACGAGCTTTTGAGGATTGTTGCAGCTGACAAGAGGTGAATACCTGATGAATTAGCATCATAATGTATCTATTGGCAGGCCTTTTCCAACTCATCCTTTTTCTATAATAATATCTTGAAGTTTTCATTTACTTGTTTTGCAGAGAAGAGCTGAAAATATTTTCAGGAGAAGTGGTTCGTTTTGGAAATCGATGTAAAGATCCTCAATGGCACAACTTGGACCGTTATTTTGAGAAGTAATACATATAACATGGTACCTTGTTTGGCCATTGTGTTTACAATATACTTATATAATATTGAATACTGATTTAAATTGCTTATTTGATTTCCAGAATTAGCCGAGATCGTAATCCTCGTAGGCAATTGCAGGAGGAGGCAGAATCCATAATGGAACTTTTAATGATTCTGGTTCAGTTTACAGCTGTGAGTACAATATTCTTTTTTACAATAATTCGGTGAATTTAATTGGTGGATGGATTGCCTAATTAGTACTTTAATATGGATGTGTCTAGGGAAAAAAAGAAGAAAGATTAATGAAGGAATTTTAGGCTGATATTTCTTTTACATATCTAAAACAAGGTCAATACCCTTGCATAAACAAAGGGTTCTTAGTAATGTCATATCAGTAACATAATTCTTGCATGTCCTGATGCAAATGACTGTATGCTTGCATTTTCTTATGTTTGCAAATATAGTAATATTCTTGACATTTATGATAAACATGCATGGAGTCTAGGGCTTTGCATTCATTTTTTTTATTTTTACCTTTCTAATGCGATGATTTATGCTTTGCATAGCAGGAGCACTGTGATATATTATATAAACCTTTTCTGTTGCGTCATCGTGTGTTTCATTTTGACCAAACAAAAACACACCATCTTGGGTTTGCAGGAGCTGTACCATGAATTGCAAATTTTGGACAGAATGGAACATGAATGTCAACGTAGGGAGGGTAGTGCAGCAACTAATCAGAGAGGTTATTTCTCCATTCTCTTCTCTGTGATTTCTTATGTAGTTAACTAAGTGCTGCTCTTGATTAAATGCAGCTGGTCATGCTTCATAAAAGAGTGTTGTGTGACTGAGGATTAGACTGTAGAGCTGAACCTATGTAACTGTGATATATGGCATCCTTTTTAGTTACCAACCAGTATGCCACTGATTTTTCATAAAGGAAATTTCTTTTTGAATTAAAGATTTGTAGGCCAGGTCAAATAATGTTATTGATTGAATATATTGCCTTTGTTACCGAAGTTGGCTGAAACAAGCTAAAAGACATCAATGTAAATACATTTTGATGAGACGAAGAAAGCTAGTTCTTTGGATAGCTTTTGATAAATGATTGGATATGGTGCTTTCACAATGTTTTTGTCATCATATTATTATCAAAGAAATAAAAAAAAGCTACCGCCTTTCTTTGTTTGTTAATTTGGGTATTAATTTTGGTATTATTGGAAAATTCATCTCATGTAGTGTGCTGTGCTTTTATCATTGTATTATTTTAATTGTTTTGTTATAATTTACATGTGACTTATTCTAATCCTGAGGGAATTTGTGGTGTTGCATTAACTAGAAATTGAAAAATATGTGTGTTAAACACTTTTAGAATTTTGAAAGTTGAGTTGTGGTGGACTGACGTGATTTAAGTTGAGAATTCCAATAATGTATCAATGTCTAACTAATGCAGGAACTACCCCAAACCAGTGCCCTGGGGAACTTAGTGAGGTACTAATGTAAGTTTGTGTCTTTCTCTGAAATTCAGGAGAAAGCCTTGCGATGTTAAAGGCAGAAATAAAAAGCCAAAAAAAGCGTATACGAAACATAAAGAAGAAATCACTTTGGTCTAGAAGTTTGGAAGAGGTAGCAACACTGATGTTTTTGTTCCATTTTGCAGCTGCAAATTATTGAGATTGTGATTTTTTATTTATTTAGCACAAACAGTATCAATTATCTATCAAGCATGTTAATTGAGTAAATAGAATCTCAATCACAAGAATGTTTCTTGTGGTGACCAAATTATCTTATACAGGTGGTGGAAAAGCTTGTAGATATCATCCATTTCTTAATCCTCGAGATCGGCAATGCCTTCGGTAGTGGTGGTATGTATTTCATCAAGATCTTTACCACATTGTAATTATGCTCCCCAACTGCATGTTTTCCTTCCATCTTCAAAGCATGCATGCTTGATGTGTGAAAATCGCTCCTTCTAGTGTTGTCCCTTTTTAGTCTTAGTTTTAACATTCAATTGCAGGGAAAATTATCTAACCTACAACCTTAACTGGGAAGAATTTTTTTTTTGATAGTCTAATTACTTCTCTCAAAAAATGTTTCCAGCTTCTCTGTTATGACTCTCGTGTTTAGTTCCATGAACATGTAAGTGGTATTTTCCAAATTTCCATGGCATGAAAATTGGACGCATTCTACTGAGAACGGGGAGGGGAAAAAAAGGACGGTAATCCTTGTCATTATCAACTTTCACTGTATTTTTTGAGAAAATATACTTTCCCCAGTGTTTTCTGTTTTAAATCCAAATGATCTGCTAATAATGCTTTTCAATTAACAAAAATAACCTTTATGATTTGAAATTTTTTTATGGATGCACATTCTTACATATTCACAGTGGGGAATAGGTCGCCACTCTTAACCATTGAACACATACAGTCATTTGGTATAATTTACTGTAATCATTTTTTTTTTGTTCAATATTTTAAAAACAGAAGTAGAAACTTGTTTGTTTTTTTTTTTTTCAAAACAAGTAAAACCAATAACCACAATCAGAACCTTTGAAACCACATTGAATAAGGAAAAAGAGCATTATACATGGAGTTAAAAAATGAAGATGGAATAGAAAAGTTATTCTTCCAGCTAAACTGGCCCCCGGATTTTCCTCTTGGATTCATGCTTCTGCATATTTAACTTTCCATCCTTTGCTCAAAGGAGCTCCTGTCTAACTTGATTTCATGTATTAAAATTGTTCTGATGGCATTCAGATGTATACTGCAGATGATTCCGTACAAGATGAAGAATCTGTTAGCAATAATCCAAGATTGGGACCTGCCGGTCTTTCTTTACATTATGCAAATGTAGTTATGCAAATTGATAATCTTGTAAGTGCCATCTACTTCCATCATGTTTGTCTTACAATCATCTTCAAAGTTTGTAATTATTAGTTTTACAATCCGTCATCAAGATTGGTTGCTATGTGACATTAACTGTTTGGGATGCACAACCTACTGTTTTGCTCTGACACAGACTGTGTTGACTTTCAATGCCCCTGCCAAACTGAATGACGTTTAACTTGACTTCAATTTTGTTGGATTACCATAATTTTTTTAGCTGCTTCTCAGTTTCCTTGCCTGAACCTCACTTGATTTCACTGTTTAAGTTCGCATGCATCAAAAAATTGAGTTCTCTGCTTCATTACACTCTTCTCGTTCTTGTATGCAATCATAGTCTTATAATACTGGTTCAAGGCCTTCTAATAATAGATGCTCTCAGGTGGCACGATCGAGCTCCATGCCTCCAAATGGTAAGGACACATTGTACCAGAGCTTGCCACCTGGTGTAAAATCAGCTCTACGTTCCAAACTGCAATCGTTTAATGTCAAAGATGAGGTACTACTTTTTCACCTCAAAGAAGAGAGGGTAGAAAGTCTTTTATTTTCTCATCCATGCGGATGCTCTAGTTGTTTACTTCATTGTGATTTGTATGTCCAGCTTACCATCACTGAAATTAAAGATACGATGGAGAAGACACTGCAGTGGCTTGTTCCAATGTCCACTAACACAGCCAAGTATGTAATGCCATTATTTTCCCTCCCCAAAAACAGAAAATTTTGCTGCTTTAAATCCTTAATTTTCAATGTCTCATTGCCTAATTGTTAACATTTTTGTATGAATTTTAATTGATTCGGAACAGAGTGCATCACGGTTTTGGTTGGGTTGGAGAGTGGGCAAGTTCCGGGTGAGTCCTTTGCTTTCTTCCAATTGTTTTTAAGAATTTCATTTTTGCAATTTATTTTTTTAACAAGTAAGCTGAATGGCCCGAGTATAAGAAGATTTGGCCATGGTGTGCACAGGTCTGAGGCCAACAGAAAACCTGCTGCTGGAGCAGCTGATATAATCCAGATTGAAACACTCCACCATGCGGACAAGGAGAAAACAGAAGCCTATATTCTTGAACAACTATTATGGCTTCACCATCTTGTCAGCAAAACCAAGAGTGTTTCTAGTGGTGTTAGCATAAAATCTGCTGCCAAGTCTGCAATCGGCACACAGGGTCAGAAGTCGAATCAGAATCAAGAGCAAGAGTCACCCAATGCAGCTGACTTGCCTGACACTGTAACGTCGAATGCACCACCACCAACAACTACCGAAGACCAAAAAATATTGCAGGATGCAAGCGAGGAAAACCAGACAGAAGAAAATAGTAAGAGCCAGGACATGAACTCAGTGGATACCAAGTTGACAGAAGATGATGGGCTGAGTACGACTAACAAAAATTCCCCTAGAAGGAAAAGCGAGGACTCAGCTACTGTCAAAAGTGTTCCTTCTGTGATTCCCATCAGTGATATTGGTATTGACAAGGAGGAAGAATTGGTTAAGATTGAGAGAGTTGATGTGCTCAGATACAAGGGAAAGCCTGGTCTTGTTACCGCCAAAACTTAAAAACCTTCTCTTTGGTTCCACCATTGGCTTATGGGATGGCAAGGAGAAACGATTGGATGTTAATAGTAAAGTTGATGTGCTCAAATAACTTATTGAATGATATACATGAAATTGAGTGACAAGGAAATTCTAGTAATTTATAGACTGGGAAAGCCATGTTGTCCTCATGCATTTGGGCTAAACCTGGCTGCATATACAGGCATTACAGCTTCTGTAATGATGGACAGAATCACAGTTTATACACTACTATACACTGAAAGCATGCTGTACTTGGACCACAGGTCCTGTGGAACTGAAATTTTAAAAATTGCCTTGGATTCAGGTGTATAGAGTGCTGTATCATTCTTTTTCTCATCTGGCAGTTTCAATCTTGAGCATTGTTCACTTCTTTTTGGCATAACTACTGATGATCCGCTGACTCCAGTCTGGCACAAGAGTTAATCTGATTAACAGCATGCAAAGCCACCATCCGATGCACAATCTATCAAAATAAGCATAACTTTTAGCCTAACTTTATACCTGTCATCTATTTTCGGTTTTTTAGCTCCAAACTAGGCATGAAAGCTACCGCATTTTTTTCTTTATTTTTGTTGTTTTTTTTTCTTATTCCTAGTTAAATTATGACTTTCAATTTATTTTGAAATTTACTAATTAAAACGTTTCAACCTTATAGGCTATTTTTCAAAAGAAAATTAATGTAACAAAGGCTATTAAGAATAAGAGGTTTCTCTACAATTCTATATAGTTAAAGGCTTTAATATTAGGACTTGAAAACCCTCCTTCTTCCCTGTAGTTGAGGGCTGTAAAACTTTAAAAGCTGAGGAACCTTATCCATGCTTTACAAGCTCCATCATGCAGAGAATCCATACTAATGAAGACGAATAAAAGAGAAAAAAAAAAGCCCGCTAAATTAACAAAAAAAAAAGGGGTAATATTTTGGCAAAAGTTAGATATATAACTCGTATAAAAAATTCAGAATATTGGGTTTGGGTGTGAGCCAAGAACTAAGTTTTGGCCATTAAAGAGGGCGAGTGAATTTTTCAACATAATCTCAGGGAAGTTAACACAGAGGTTCAAAAAAGGAGATCTGAAGACGATGGAGTATGTTACCAGAGCTGACTTGAATACACCATGAAAGGTTATTCTCCTCTCCATCCACTGAAGCAAATGTTTCTAAATAATAACTAACAAAAAGGAAAATTTGTAAATAAGTAATAGAGCTGTAAATGGCTACTGTTTTTGAACATAAAAGATACAGATTGAAGGGATGGAAGGGACAGCTTCATGTCCTTTCTGTTTTAAAGTTAGATAAAATTCATTTCAAAATTATCATATAGATTTATTTTATATCTATTTAATTTTCTTCAAACCAATTATGTTTATACCTATTCTGAATGTGATACTACCCTAATTAAAAACAAAAAAATAAAATAAAAATAGCTTAGTGTTTCATTATGAATGTTTATACAAAACACTATGGATTCAACAATGTATTGACTATTTTTCTCTACTAAAATAAATTAATACCCCAATTATTTAGGGTAATATAATCTTTACATAAAGTTTATTGGTTATTACAATATTGAGAGGGAGAAACTCATCTTTTATATTTTTTAAGCACCATAAAATAATTAAATTGTATTATCTTTTAAAATAAAATTTATTTAACTAACAGCTAGGGTTTTTTCAAATTTTCATTTTTCACAATTCAATGAAATAATTAAATTGCTCTTAAAACAAAAATTCTTGAATTGGAGTCTTGGGTTTTTTTTTTCTCATGATTTTTTTAGTTATAATAAAATTGATTATGATGCAATTTGATATTTTAATAGATATAAAATATTGATTGAAAACCAAAAGAATATCCTCAGTCCTTTCTGTTTTAAGGGTTAATAAATTTTCATAAATATTTAAATTTTTTATTCGAAATATAGATATGAAAAAATCTGATCCTACGTATACCCTTTGTAGTGCAATCTAAGAGAGTTTGTCTATATATATATATATATATTATGAGTGGCTATTTCCAACATCCAAGCAATGGGAAATAACCCAGAAACTAAATATTTCTAATTTAATTATATACATTGTTGAGAAACAAAAATAATAAAAATTAAATTAAAGATATTTTGTCTTTTTGGTTTACTCTCAAGAGTTGAATTATTGATTATTGTCAGGTTAGCTAAATTGCATAGAGTATGTCAATTCTCGGCAAGTGCGTTGAAAGCCACCAGTGGAACGCGCTTCTCAACTAATGATCACACCAATGAAATTAATGATGTACGTGTGTCACTATATGATTCCTCAATTTCCTAAGCAAATCAAAACTACCTCGTTTCACTAATTAGGAATTATCCGTACTATTAAACCGAGTTAACATTCAAGAATTAATCTAGCTTGATTAAATTGAAATGATATTATTTTATTTTTTAAATTAAAATAATATAATTTTAATTTTAATTTTTAAATCAAAATAGCTAGGAATGTCTGGTTTATTTTTAATTTTTTAAATAAATCTATCAAAATACAAAAAGATATTACTCCAATTGCGATAATACTCGGTCTCTCTCACTAAAAAAGATAGTACTTCATATAAACTTTTATGGTCATTGATTCTGTACCATATATCTTTTTTTCACTCACCACCATAGCTTTCATGTAACAATGATATCTTCATCTTCAAAACCGTGGATTTATGATGTGTTTTTGAGTTTTAGAGGCGAGGACACGCGAAAACATTTCACTGATCATCTGTACTTTGCCTTCAAAGATGCTGGAATCAACACATTAAAAAAAAGACGCTTGCCCTTTTTTCATGCAGCCTACAATGACTTAGAGATAGAAAAGTTTCAACTAATATAGCTAAAATGAGGTTATTTTTTATCTATTTGTATTTAATAAAAATATTAACAACTTTAATGCTAATAATCCCAACAGTTTTCAAAGAAAACAGAACTAGCCCAAAAATGATGAAAGCAAACTATCTGATACCTTTCTTCACTTATTTTTTTTTCTTTTTTTTTTTATTTTCAATTTATTCTCAATCATCTTTCACTTAAACCCTCCATTAGATGTCTTATACTGATCAACTTAGTCTAGATGTAGTAGTTTTGTTACCACTATTGTTGTACTCTTAAATCTTTACCCTAAAATACACTTTATGAGAGTCATTTGAGAAATTCAAGATATAGGTATACTCTTCAACATGAAATATCTGTAGCTTGGATATTAAAAGTGCATTAAAGCTTTAACTATTGAAATTTGAACAAGAATCCTTAATAAATGAGCAATTCTCCCATATTTTTTTCTCCAGCAACCTTAACTTTTGATAATTCTCTTTAACTAATTGTATTATCTCAGATATTTTTTTATATTTTGAAAAGGTTATGGAAGTTATGATTTTAACTAATATTCAAGGTAGATTTTTTTTTTGTAAAGAAATTTCTACCTCATCAGGTTAAATTCTAGCTATTTTAAAGCGTGAAATTTAATATATTCTATTTACTATTTGTGATTTTTTTTAGTGTTATTAAATTTATTTTATCAAAAAAATTTCAATAATACTTATGATGTGATGTTATTATAAGAGTTTCAATGTGATTTCAACAATGCACTGTGAACAATAAAAATTACAAACTTGAAAGGAGCAACATATTAAAAAAACACGTTCAGAAAGAAGGAAAGAAAACACTAATGCTTGGTTGATATTAAGTCCAAATCAAAAATCAAATCTCCAGGAATCAAGTACTAAAAATCATTTGAGACGACATTAATTTTAGATTCTCCTTGAAAACTTAAAAAGGACGAAGAATAGGCTCAGGTTACACAAGAACCAACACCAGCACAGGAAGAACAGAGAAAACCAGAAAAGACATTGCCAGCCCTCAACCTTCCACCTTCCTTTAGTACCATCAATGCCTTGCCTTACACCACCACCAATCCTTCACCAAAATCAAACCGGAACCTCAAGCCATAAACCATCCCTTTTCCAACCCTTGATTCAAAAGCCTTCACCTAAACAACCAGGCTTAACCCGAGATCACCATGCCCTAAACATGATCCCCAAATGAACTCAGTAACCTCTCAATCAGCCATGAGACGAACATCAACCTCTAGAATTCCACAAAAACCACTACCAGCCCCATCAAAAAACCAGAGCCTTAATATGTTTAGATGGCCCTTCTTTTGGCATGGAATTATGATGATCTTGCTTAATCATTTCTGGATGTGATTAAATTGCATCTGTATGGTCTATGATTGTAATAAAGTAAAGATCCAGCATAAATAAACATGTGGTTGGAGGAGCTTTTTCGTTTTTATATTGTCATTCTCCAAGCTGATGAATCCCATAATTCAAATAATGTCTAGCTTGTGGCTAAGTGGACCTCGTCGAAAAAAACTTGTTTTTGTCACCAAAATGCTATCATTATTTCTATGAGGTCAGTCTCTATAGTTTCAAAAGCGAACACAAACCATGACAGCAGCCTTCTCTCCTTCTCCATAATTAACAACTTACATCACTGTCTTTAACCAGATTCAAAAAAAAAAAAAACACCATCATCAAAACACCCTTCTCCTTCGACCATTTCGCTTCAATATCCAAAATCCTCCCAGTAATTCAGCTTCAGTTCTCAGACGTTAGCCATCATTTTTAACTTCAACAGCCATCTGTAATAATCACATAACCAATCCATGACAGCAACCTTCTCTCCTCTCCCATTGACTTCCTACCCATGACCATCACCATATAAACAAACAAAAATCACCATCGAGCAATTAGAAAAATTAAAGATCAAAGGCCAAAAAAAATTCAATTATATAAAAAATTCAAAACAAAAAAAATATGTATTTTTTTTAAATTATGCCTAATCAAATATCAAATGATGATAATGTAAAAACTACTGTAAAAATATCAAAGGTTAATTTGTTTTAATTATATAAAAGAATTTAAAATAAAAAAGTATATTTTTAAATTTTTTTATGCTAGCTAAATATTAAATTACCCCTCATTTGACATGATAATTATGTAAAAACTACTGTAAAAATACAAAATTGGCTCTTGAATCTAGCTTTATTTATTTTTTATTTCTAGAGTATTTTCATTTTTTTCTCTATATAATTAAAATAAAAAAATTATTTGTTTCCAATCAATTTCACAACATTTTGATTTTATTTTTTTATATCTGGTTAAATACTTAAATTACCTTTTATTTAATACAATAATTATATAAAAATCATTATAAAAATATAAAATGAACTATCAGCTCTAGTTTTAATTTTTTTTATATAATATAAATGTACTTGTTTCCAATCAATATAGAAACCACACTGTGAAACAAAATTCAATTCCCCAAAACGTATTTAAATGTTTTGATTGATTGATAAAAATATTAAAATAGTATTTTTCAATCACGTGACAGAAATGTTTTTCAAAAAGATTTTGATTGTGGAATGTATTAGCTCTGCAAGTTGCCATCTTTGTGGCCGACATTGACAAAGAATATATCTTGTTTATTAACAGCAGAACTCAAGAGATTTTTAAAAAACAATAGGAAAAAAAAAAAAAAAGCATATTTGAGCGAGGCACTCGCAAGATGCACGCGGCACATGCAAGATGCACGCGGCACATGCACGTCTCTTTAAAAAACAATAAAAAATTTCCCACCATATAAAATAAAAAACTAAAATAATAAATTAACATGGATTCATGGCAGGAGTGAGAAAAAAACCATGATTAAAAAAAATAATTTAAAAATTAATTAAACCAATTAAAATTAAAAAAATAATCAGTTTGGTTCGATTTTATAACCAAAAACCAAACAAGTTGAACCGAATAGAACCGAATTCAAATAAAAAAACTTAGATAAACTGAATCAAAACTAAACTAAACAGGAAAAAACTAAGCTAAAACTGAGAAAACCAAGTCAAACCAGAAAAACAAAATCAAATTGGTTTGAACTGATTTTTTCCCTTAAAAAACCAATCTGAACCAAACCTAATCGAAACCTGTCAATTTGATCCAGTTTTGGTTCGATTTTGATTTTTTTAAAAAAAAATTTCATTTAATTATTTTTTTTAATAAAAACTAAATCACACAAAAAATAATCATTTTTAATTTATGGTTTGCTTCCCGCTTACAGTCCACTCTTTTGCATGTAAAATATAAATGAAATTAATGGGTTAGGTTTTGAATTTATTTTTTTAATTATGGTAAGTAAAACTCATTAAAAATTTATATAATTATTAATTTTAAATTTAAAAAATTAATTAATACATATAAATGGATCT